ATTCTACTACTAATGCTGTGGTAAATCACACATTAATACCTGCCTTAAGAAATAACTTTCATAAAAGTTTTAACTATATATAGAATTGGTGTAGAGGAGAAAAACCTTTTTAACTTATTTTCTAAAAGTTCCGTTCAAGTTCCGCCAGAAGCTGTTTAGAATGCTCTTCAATTATGGTACCGGAACTTTCAAGTTCTTATAACGACTTAAAAATGATGCTGCTTAGAATTCTATAGATCACCAAGCTGCTTAAGTCACAAATAGCCTTTTATCAGAACTTTTGGCTACTTGGGAAGTATTATAAGGTATCATCGAGAAACGGAGTGATCTTGATAATAATGATCTATACTAAAAAAATTGAAGCAAGCGAGATAATCATCGACATATAGAGAAAAACTGGTCACATGTCGAGGCATCGAAATATGAAGAGTTAACTGTGTCTTCACAAATTCGATTACTTGATTTGATTTAATATATCTATGATCTATCTAAATTATCCTGACCCGTACTTGGAAAATATCCAGAATGCTTTATTTTAACATTTTGCATCTGTTGATAACCTTTGCGGTCGAGAATTTCCATCATTTACTGTTCTAGTTCCTTGTCTGGCAAGCAATCTGCAGTTGTGGGTTGAAAAGTCAAACTTTCTTTACTTCTATGACTATGAATCAGCAAATTTACCAGAAGCAGTGCCTACGGAATAGGCTACTGCCTTTTCTGGAGCAGCACGAGGTCGATTGATTATTTCGAATCAACTGAAAACACTGTTTGCGTTGACACCGTTTTATTTATACTGGATTAACCAACTTTAGTAGAACACAATTGGATAGTATAAAGTTATAAATGATTAAATGTTTTTGTGATGTATTTGATTCATAATATTTGTCTGTTTTTTTTTTATCTTGTTAGTTTATTTGTAAGGCTCAATCGCGTTAGCTTTACGGAGCCGATAATTCATTGTTCTTTGTTTGTAACAAAATTCACTTAATTCTATGTCTAGTAGGAGTTGGGCCGAATACTCGCGGCTTACCTGAGGTTAGAGGGGTACATAGTTGAAGGATAGGAAAAGGGGAGAACCCTACCCCCAGTTTCGTTGTCTCATCAGAGCGCCAGTATGAACGGTAGTGTGGTTCTAGATTCGTCTGGAGTTCGAAAGGCTATGGTGACTAGTGGGCGACGATGAGACTCATCGAGACGGGGGACAAGACAAACAAAAACTAATAAAGAGATACAAAAGACAAACGAATTAAATTCTTATACTAGACATTTGCAGAAACACATAAATCGACTGCATATAGCAGAGATAGGGGTATAGCGTTGTCTTCCTTGGGCCTCGAGGGTATTCAAAAGTCGCTCTTTGGCGGCGTCATTATCCGTACATTGCCAAACTGCGTGATAGATGTCGTCGTAACCGTTTCCACGAGGTTTATTCTATTGAGATGCGCATCTAGCGAGTAGTTGTTGGACATAAGTCTACTCATCACGCGAATGAAGTCACGACTTAAGCCCAAGCCTTTAAACCACGGTCTCGAAGAAACATTAGGAATAATTGATTTCAAGTGTTCCAATCGGTTTGCCAACTCGAAAGGAAACTTTGACGCACTAAATGGTAAAATTCATCGTGTGAAATTCTCCTGTCATAAAATTCGCCTTCCTGCGCGCCCACCTTTGCGAGAGAGTCCGCCTTCTCATTGCCTGGGATTGTGCAATGTGAGGGGACCCATACAAGAGAATCATAGATGATCTTTCGACCAGCACACTTATCTGCTCCCTTACCTTTGAAAGGAAATAAGATGAGTGCCTACTTGGTTTCATCAACCGAATAGCCTCAATCGAACTGAGACTATCCGAGAAGATGAAGTAATGGTCTGAGGGCATGCTGGAAATCATCCCCAATGCGAAGTTGATGGCTGCCAGCTCAGCAACATTAACGGAACAAGGTTCCTGAAGTTTGTGGAAGGCGCTAGAGTTTTCATTGAAGACATCGAAGCCAGTGGATCGATTGAGAGGTGACCCATCTGTAAAATATCTTTTCACGCAATTGACGTGTTGGTACTTTTCAGTAAACATCGTGAGATAATAATAGTTCGAAGTTGATCTGGAATCCCATGAATCACTTGTTTCATGGTCAGATCATATTCAATTCAGGAACTGCGATTGGTGAAGTGAGCCGCAAATTGAGCGGAGAAAGTTGATCCTCTGTTGACATTTTTGCTTCAAATACGTAATATGGGTATTCCAAGTGCACTTTGAATCAAACCAGACCCCAAGGTACTTGTAAGACAATGATTAAGTAATGTTTCTGCCCAAAAGATTAAACCGCTTTCGAGTAAACACTACCAGTTCAGTTTTCTGCGGTGAGAATTTGATCCCTAGATTCCTAGCCCAAGAAGACAAGTTATCTAAGGAACTTTGCAATGGTCCTTGCAAGTCCACGGCATGTGGACCTCTTACGGAAACCACACCGTCATCTGCAAGTTGTCTTAGCGTGCATTGTTCTGCCAAACAGTTGTCGATATCTTTGACATAAAAGTTATAAAGAAGAGGGCTGAGACATGAGCCTTGGGGCAGGCCCATGTAGCTAATTCTGGAAGTTGTCAGTGGTCCAAGGGAAAAGTTCATTTGCTTTTATGACAACAAATTGTACAAGAAATTATTTAAAATTCCGGAAAGTCCACATCTGTGCAGATTGTCTGACAGAATTTCATTGGAAACTGAATCAAAAGCCCCCTTAATGTCTAAATATTTCTCTGTTGATACGAGTATTTGATTTTATTGATGTTAAATGCCACAGGTCTTGAAAGCTAGCTTCTGGTTGTAAAATATTCATTCAGATCATAGATGTATGTCTACTTCTCACTTATTTGGGGACCCAGTGCTAAAAACAACTATGAAATAGCGTGATAGATAACCAATGCCTCAGCAATGCTTATTTTTTGTTCTAATATTGCTCTACCATAGACACCGTGAGATCCCTCTTATTAAAACGATAATATCTCGATCAATCCTTCAATAGTTCCTTCAATATCGAGATATGGAAAGTTGAATCTATTAACAATAAAATTAATAATAGTTATCGGTTTTCGGAGCTGGTTAGTCATGGAATAACCGCGAGTAACCAGCATGACAGGCCTGATACAATTCCATGACAAATCTACACTGCCGTTCTACGCATATCAGTCCCATGTTTCAAAAGTTGGTTCTGAGAAAATCGCGAATAATGTTTCGAATCATTTCTGCTCATTGGAAGAAATATACGTTAAAATAAGTTACCGCATTGTTCACATTTCAACAGAATCAATATGTTTTAGTGAAAACTACAGAAATTACCTTCAATGAAATCAGTTAAGCCTATTTTTATACGAATAATATTAAATGGGACTGTTATGCCTAGAAATTTGCAATGAAGTAGGAAATTCTACGCATGTTAGTCCCACTAAGAACTGTTACTTTCAGTGTTGCTTTGATGGCCACGTTGCGTTTGACGTCTTTACTCTTGTGCTTGCATGACCGTGCTTGCATTCTCCGAGAAGTTTTCGAAGATCCTGGATAGTTTGTATAGCTTTCCATCATTCAATTATACCAACAATAAATTTGTTGGCATTGCTACTTCTATGAAACCATTAAAGTTAAGAGCATTTCAAGAAACTAATGATGAATGTACTATTTAGAACATAAACTTCTTAACATCTTGTTCTACTCCTTAGCAAGATGAACGTAGGACTAAAGGAGATTGTGCTTAATCATTTTGAGTCCGACCATAGATTTATGGCGGCTGACATGCTGTGGACAAAAGATCATTACGTTACACGATCGTTGACCGTGGGCTTTGATGATTTCAAGAAATACTTTGGAAGAGTTGACATGCACATGCAAATTTCTGCCGTACGGAGTTGACCTTTATACTACGTATTATCATATTATAAAAGCGGCTTTTCATGAAACACATAGACACTACACGGTAAGAAAAAAGTACCCAACGGCCAGTTCACTTTTACCTACTTTTGACTAGTTTGTCTCCTTTTCTCCTTCTAATGTTGTCAAAAACGGAGGAGCAAAACCACCCAACAGGGGTAGTAAAGTGTGGGAACCCAACGTTGAGTATAATCATATTTACCTACTGTTGGGTACAACTAACTTACTCTTGGTTAAAAAGCCAGTGGAAAATTCCATACGAACTGCACACAAGGAAATGAAAATTACTTTGACCCGCTTTACCTACTTTTGGGTTCCTGCACTATAGTGCCGAGATGAGTGAAAAGAACTTAATTTTGGGTACTTTTTTCTAACCGTGTAGGAGAGTGTGGGGGTGGCGAGCGTCTACGTAAGTGTCTAATAATGCATTGTTTGAAATTAGATGATGGTGTTTTAATATGAAATCCCGTTTTTCTTAATATTTACCAACATAAAATACAACTTTCACTTCCTAAAATGGTTCATACCGTTTCTTTTGATTATATAAATCCTGTTTCAATAACTTGTGTACACAAATCGATTCGTTAATGATAGATTCAGTCAAGAAAATCTTTGTGGGACAGTTTTACGTAGAATTACAACATGGGACAATTAGACTTGATGTTGTTTTTATACAAACCCAGAACTAATTATATGGTTTTCTATTTTCATTCCAAAGTTTACCTAAAAAAGTACTGTTTTATGAACAAAAATGAAAAACATCCAAAAGTAACATGGGACAGATATGCGTAGAACGGCAGTACATCTTTTACAATTTTTTGAGGCGGCTCGTAATCAACGAAAGATTGAGAACCGCTGTTCTAGAATACCAGTTCCATGCTCTAAGACGGTGTATTTCCCTATACCTTTCGAACCAGTCTACGCCCCCAATGTGTATAGAACATGATAAACACAGCAACGACGTTTAAACACTCGACCGAACCCAACCGGCACCCGACTCAAACAGCGTGCAGAATAACAGCCAAGCAAGCATTTACAGCCGTTTGTCGCACGGTCGTCTCACTAGTTTGCCGACCGTCGGACCGTTGAGACGCGTTTTCTTCTCGTGCGATTTTTGCCCGTTCGTTTGTTCGTCACACACAAAGGAAACCCGGTGAACCCCGCACCGCGAGACATCCTACTGCTAGAGTAGCGTGTCGGTAGATCGTTATTTTTGTTTAAAAATCCGAAGGCGTGGGCGTACGGGCGTGAAAGTAACGCCCTGCATCTGAAGTGATCGTCGGTCGGAAGATCTGCCGGCCGGAATTACGTCACCGTCGGCACTGCAGAGTGGGTCCCAAAGGAAGAGTGTGTAGCGTGTGTGATCTGTTTGCCTCGGTTTTTCGGACCACAGTTGCTCAGCTGCAACGAAGTGGATCGTGGGGATCTATAAATGTGAATCCGAAATGTCATGTTATACGTAACCCATACCAAGCAGCGAAGACGGCGACGGCGATAGCAGTGAGTGGATGGATGAATAACAGAGCTCAAACGACGACGACGACGACGACGGTTACCCCTAGCGTCTATATGATCCCTGTCTGGCTTGTGTGTTGATGGCATATAATTTCTAGCGTGGTGTTTTTTTTGGGCTGTTTTTAGGAGATTTCACGAAACGAAGAGTGATGACGGGTGCCATCTGCTGAGCGGTGAAGTCAGTGTCAGTGCGATTGAGGTGATTGATCCTGCCAATACCCTGAAGTTTTAATAAAAATAATGCCGACTGCGAGAAAAGCCATCGCCGAAAGTAAAAGTGTTTGTGTTTTCTAAACAAATAATATTCATCGGAATCATCGCTGTAGAAGAGCATCAAAAATAAAAATAGTGTGTTGAGCCGGTTTTTGGCAGAAGAAGCGCGGCATGTGTGTATGAAAATTGTGTCAACATCTGCGTGCAGCTTGTTCATGTTTTTTGCGCCCCTCTCTGGCGTGGTGTTTATTTCAAAATACGGATGGTGTGAGATCATCCCCTTCGAAGCAAGCGAGCAAAACACAAGATCTGCAAGAGGCAGTGATCATGTAATAGTAAGTGATTTTCAAGTGCCGAAGTGAAGTGAATGCGAATCTATCGATAGTGGAAACGAAAGCCAATCAAAGGGTTACAGAAGAAAAGGAAGGAAGGAAAAAAACGAACAGAAGTCACGATGAATGGCGTTACGATGATGGACGAAAACGATATGGACATCAAGAGTCCCATCCGGCGGCTAGGATCCACCCGGAAGCTGAATCTTTTCAATAGTAAGTACTGAATTTATCGGAAATGATTGCAGTGTAAAAAAATGTCACTCCAAAGATTATGCCCCTTAATGAGTGATTGAAGATTTTACTCATAATTTATGAATAGTTGATGAATTCATGATAATAATTCGTTGCTCAACTGGAATCTAAAACGGATTTACAGAATTGGAAGGAAATGCTATACTAATATCAACATGAAGCTTTAGTACGACAATTTATTAGCTAGAGAAATTTCTGGAGAGGATAGATTAATAATTCCGCTAGAGTACGGCAGTGTGAAAATTGAACAAAAGTTGAAATTGAGTGAAGGGCCATTAATGCGACAGTAGTAATCAAACGCACACTCCTTTACCTAGCTCATACGTTAATGGATGAGGGGACTTGAGGTATTTCCTCAAATCCACAGGCAAAAGATTGAGCGTATGACTTGCTCATATGCTGCCGTACTATAGAGGAACTATCAATCAATCCTCTTCAGAACTTTCTTAAAGCTTCATGTTGATATTAGTATAGCATTTTCCCCAGCTATGAAAATGACGTATCAAAACACTTTGAATTATGATTTAGTTTGTCGTGAATCATTTTATTGTTATCCAAAAGAGTTATTTATATTATCGTAAGCAAAACCTTTGTACATAAATTGTTCATTTTTTCATGGCCCTGTCCAGAAGTTGTAAGGGAGTGTTATGCAACCAGCTCCATATACCGTATGCGTTTGCACCATTGAGCAATGTCAAAATTAAAAAAAATCTCAAAAATTTCGTTTACGAGTTTTTTTTTATTTATTCAAAGGTCAGAGTCTTACACTGTGTTAATCATCGATCGAGTTTCCGCTTGCTGCAATTACGGCCTCCACACGCTTCCGAAATTCACGGAAGGTTCTGATTATGTAGTCTGGATCCATTTCTCTCCAGGTATGGGTCAATGTTTGTCTGAGGCTTGCTGTACTCGGGTGGCGTTTAGAACAGGCCTTGTCCTTCATGACGCGCCAGATCGAGTAATCCAGCGGATTAAAATCGGGGCTGGATGGCGGTCACATATTCTTCGCCCAGAACGGAAGATGTTCCTGCAACCACTTCTGAGTGTGGTTCGAGGTGTGGCACGGAGCCCCATCTTATTGAAATACAACATTTGGCTTCGGACCGTACTGTTCTATGAAGCACGGAAGAACATACTTACTTAAAATACTGATGTAGACCTCCGTGTTGACCTTGTCGCCTTCTGGAATGAACACCGGGTCCATTTTTTTGCCATCGGAAGCCACCAATCCAAACTCCATAACGCTAGCAGGATGCTTGGTCAGATACACGTTCTTGTGTTCGTCGGCCACGTCTGTGTTCGTCGGTGAACAGGATTACCGGATTTTTTCGCTTAAGGAAGTTCAAGATTTTCTTGCATCGTTTGACTCGTAGCTTCCAGGTGCGGTTGGTAATCATGTGAGTTTTTTTTCCGTGCCCTCGATTTCGCTCCGCAATCTTCCTTTACGATCTTCCCTGCCGTAAAGTCACTAATCCCGTGTTCCTTTGTCATTTTCCTTATTGAACGCACTAGATTCACCCGGATCTTCCTTTTGATAGCAGCGATAACCCTCGGCACCCGAGCTGACCTCGGACGACCTGTGGCCACCTTCGCGGATAGTTGTCCTTTCTTTTCACATTCTAAAACCCTTTTGACGGTCCACCGGAACACTCCCACGGCGATTGAAATGTCTTTTTGCGACATTTACGCGTGGAACAAATAACGAATACGCTGCCACTTCGTCATGGTGCAACTGTCAAACTAAGTAAATAATTTTCTTTTATACACAGCCTACTACGGTATGAGCTATAGGTTACGTGCATAAAAAGAAAACCAAGGCATTGTATGCACATGTGAAACGGGAACCTTATTTGTACGATGGTGCAAACATTATCACGCATACGGTAAACTGTTGATACAAATGTATGTACAACTGTCTATACTTACAGGGGGAGAGTTGGAGTTGTTAAATCGTTAAAAATCCGTCTAAGTAACTTATCGACAGCTCCTAAGAGTCAAAAGAACGCATCACTTCATAAGCGTTAACAGGATCTTGGGCTGAAAGGGGCCATGGCCCTAGCTGACAAGACATAAACTGTCGGTAGTAAACGTTTTCACGTATCACACCTCTACTTTTAAAATTTGCGGATGGAGGAAAGGTGTAACACTATTTCAGATTTATAAAACTGAGTCCTTACGGGCACCTTCTTAGAAGTCAATGGCAACTCGTAGAAGGTAAGGCTTAAGAGAACGTTATGTGTTTTCAGAAAACTCCCTTGAAGGTTGACGAAAAGTTTAAAAAAAATATAGAGCTTTCCCAGGTGAAGTCTGCCAGAAAAAGTCAAAATCTGGCACAACTCTTTCCGATCTAAATGAAACTTTCAACTTGTTTTCAGCATTGGAGATTATGATTTTTCCACAGATCACCAGACCATTTTGACTCAAGTCTAATTTTTGAAAAGTTCGCATGTGTTTTCACATATGAATTTTTCAAAAAACTGTAACTCTTAAACCGTTTATTGTATCACAATTCTGTCCGAGAAGAAGTTTTTAGAGAATTTGTTGGACTTTGAAGGAGAAAATATACCATGAAAAAAAATTGTTCATAATAATAAGTGAATTTTTCTTCATTCCATCGTACGATTTTTTTCATTTTTTTTCATTTTAAAAATAATGTTTAGAAAATTGGTATTTTCTCGAAAATAAGTCCTTTTGATAAGATTTTCGTGATTCTCCATCTGCACTGGTCCAATTTAGAAAATGTGCCTAAAATTCCCTACGAAATCGGAGGGGCTCGTGCCAAGTCGTTTTCTCATTTGACAGAGAATTGCTCAATATCAAGAAACTTCATTCAAACTTTAATGAACTTTAGAAAACTTCTTAGAACTTCAGGGACTTCGTAGAAGTTCTGGTAAGTTTCGAGAAGTGCAATACATTACATAGGAGATCAGATAACTTTGAAAAAGCTCAACAAACTTCATAGAAATCCAGTGAATTTCGTAAAACTTCAATGAACTTCGTAGAAATGCTGATAGTTTTGTAGAATTTTATAGAAATTAGGAGAAGTTCATTAAAGTTAAGGCATTGTTCTTGACCTTCATTGATCTTCTCAAATCTTCAAATGTTCATGAGAAATCAAGGAAACGCAGAGAATCTCTGTATAAATTCGGAGAGCTTCGAATTAATTCTGGAAAGCATCGTAGAAGTTCGGTACTTGTACAAGTTGAAGCAACTTCGCTTAAGTGAATGAAACTTTGTTTTATTACAGGAAACTTTATTAAAATTCCAGGACCTTCAATCGGTCTAGTAGTCACCTATAATTCTAACGTTACACATCAACTCACATGAGAATTCCGAAATGAGATGATTGGTAGGCATTTTGAGCTCAAAGGACCCAAGAGAGATTCTGGAGACCTTTTGTCTTTCGCCCTTTTGACTTTCAACTTTTTGTCTTTAGACCTTTTGTTTTTCAAACTTTGGTCTGTCGACCTTTTGTCCTTAAACCGGATAAAAAATCCTCCGGAAAAGTGAATAGTACCTGACTAGAGCTAAAACGGGAATTTTTTTCTATCTAGTTCGTTTATTTGTAAGGCTCAATCGCGTTAGCTTTACGGAGCCGATAATTCATTGTTCTTTGTTTGTAACAAAATTCACTTAATTCTATGTCTAGTAGGAGTTGGGCCGAATACTCGCGGCTTACCCGAGGTTCACATTATCGAAGGATAGGAAAAGGGGAGGAGCTTGGGAGTAGGGTTTCGTTGTCTCATCAGAGCGCCAGTGTGAACGGTAGTGTGGTTCTAGATTCGTCTGGAGTTCGACCGGCTATGGTGACCAGTGGGTGACGATGAGACTCATCGAGACGGGGGATAAGGCAAACAAAAACTAATAAAGAGATACAAAAGACAAACGAATTAAATTCTTATAGGGGAATTTACGTATTCTCGGCAACCTAAGCAGCGACCTTCTTTCTATAGCCTTTTTCTCTAAGGAACGGACACATATGCAGTATTGGTTTGTTTACAATCTTTTGCTGCCAGCTGCTCTAACAATTTCAGTCGAAAGAATCGTCAAAAACTGTTTTGAAACGCATTTACAAAGCTCCAATCTTCTCTAGTGAGAGCGAGTATTGTCGGCAACCAGTTTTTCTTCGGCAACCGTTCCATTTGAACTGCATGTAAATCTGCTGTTCTATTATCGGCAACTCGAAATCAGCTACAATTTGTAGTGCGTGTGTTGAATTTCAAGAAAACCTTGCTAGATTGCTTTTTCTCAGTGGTAAAAATATAGTCTAATTGAAGCTGAAAGCATAAAGAATCGTTTGCATGCATTCAGCGAAGTGTTTTCGTAAGAAAATCCAGTGAAAATAGTGTTTCAATTTGGGTTCCCGAAAATAGTCTGTCATGCCGAAGCCGTCATTTCCCCTACTAGAAATTTGCAGAAACACATAAATCGACTGCATATAGCAGAGATCGCGGCTGCCCAACACATCTCTGATAGGGATATGGGGTTTGTCTTGCTTGTGCCTCGAGGGTATTCAAAAGTCACTCTCTGGCGGCGTCATTATCCATACATTGCCAAACTGCGTGATCGATGTCAGCGTAACCGTTTCCACACCGACAGATGTTGCTATCCACGAGGTTTGTTCTATTGAGATGCGCATTAGACTGATGCAAAATTTGAAATTTTTGCTCCACAGTGCTCAAACGGTTCCAAATTTGATCCTGATTATCCTCCCAAAATTTGAACTCCTTCAGTAAGAACCTGACTTGGCACTAACCATTTGAAGTTTATATGGAAATTACTATGGAGAAACCATAATTTCGTTTCATATCAATCTCGAAATTTACCAGTTCACTCTACTTTAGGAAATGATAGCTGAGCTTGTTGAAAATTTTCTCAGCTACAACTTTGTTGAAGACCACTTTTCGATCAAATGTAAGGAACAAAAAATATTTATGATTCAAGTCACTGATGTCTTATGA